GCCGAAAAAACTCGGCCGGACCGGCCGCGGCCGGCATGCAACATAGCGCAGGAGTAAAACAAAACAAATTTCAGAGACAATTGGCGAACGACGCAAAATAATCCCACGAGCCGCCAAGACGGTTGTTGTCGCATCGTCCCTTCGCCGCTCTAGCTGGGTGCGCCAACTGTACATCTTGCAGTCCCCTACGACAGGATAGGTTCTCGAGGGGCACATCTTGCCTTCCCTAAGGGGCTGTCACCACCCTTAGCGGCGTATCCCTACCGAGCTACTGACCCACATGCGAAAGTTTTTAGATGCAATCGCAGAGGTAGGTCAGCCGAGGGCATTTGCTCGCTTGCTGTAGTATAGATACCCTTGGTCAACGCCAAGTGGACCTGAGCGTCATTCATTTTTCTAGGGCGCTGATCTCCTAGGTACGGAACAAACGTCGATCGACTAGGACGGTCTCAACCAAGCGTGAAACCCCAATTCATCCTAATCCCTTTGGTCACCAGTCAAAAGAAAATTATAGCAACCACACATATACTTATATCAAAACGAGTCGACCGCAGTCGATACGAATATATATCCAATCTGAAATAATAATTGAAAAAAAAAATCAAAATTATCATTAAGTATATTCAATAACACAAGATGAAAAATAAAATCCGACCACCCCGGGTCGAACTTCACAAAAACAATCATACAACCGCCAACAAGGAGTTGGCTACCGCAATAGTATTGATGTAGCCGACAAGGTAGTCGGTCTGCCTTAGTTTTGACTTGATAAGACGCGTCGCCAAAGTTATTCATTCCACCTACCGCCGACTTAAGATTAAACACACATACACCTGTCTTCATCCGTTTCTATTTTTTTTTTTGACGACAAGCTGCTTTGCGAACAATTCTCAATCTGGTGTATTGCTTGAAGTGTTGCATGCCTCTCCCTCCAGGAAGTGGTCTGGGGTACTCCTCCTCCTCGCCCGAGCACAAAGCTCGGATCTCAGAAGTTGGGCCGTTTTCACCGAATCGGCAGAGTACCCCCCCGTAGAACGGTCTATTCTGGGTCGATAACAGGGCCGGCTCCGTAAAGCAACGAACCCATGCCCTAGATGCTTCCCGAAGAAAAAAAATGTGTTCAGCGAAAGTAGGTTTTAGTTATTTTCATTTCTCCTAAGTTCAAGGTAATTTAGACGAAAAGAAACAGAGGTGATAGAGAATGAGAATCATTTCGACAGGTATAGGTGAATAAGGTCATTCGGGATGGAAAGGGTCAATCTCAAGAAAACCCCTTTTGACCTTATCTGCTTTATTTGAATTGAGTTCATTTCACGATATGCACTGAATTAATATTTTCCAGAACAGTAAGTCCTTTTAACAAGCAGAGAGGCGAAAAATACAAAGAGGACGATCCTTTTCTTCATCTCAAATAAGCATAAGCAATCTCCTTTGTAAGCATCCTTCTACCTACCTGCACAACACGCAAAGACAACAAGTTCAAGAGAAAACCAGTGTCATCCCATACTCAAGTCAGACCTCACCATTCACATGCAAACACACATTTCCTTTGCCTTTTCAATGAACATTCGATTGAACAGGGTCAAGCAAAGTGTGGGTTCACACAGGTGTGAATAGAAATCTGAGTCATTCTACTGACTGACCTTGAGTGAAGTTTGATCCGACTCACTCAAGAAAGTCGAGTAATACGCAAATCAAAAGAAAATAATTGTCGTTGAACATGAAATATACGACTCACAACTTCACAAGTTGTGGCCTTTGAGGGGCAGTGTAATCCAATGTAGAATGGATAACATCCTAAAATCCCTGAACCCCGCTCAAAGATCAAGCGTCACTGCTTCTCCCTCCGATTTCACCACTTGCCCCTTGCAGACCCTTCTCGACAAGGTAAACAACCTCACCATACACGCTTAGGGTGGTGTTGTTCCGTCTTGTGCCCGATGAACCCACTTGACACACAGATAATCGGGGATTCACCCCCTACTTCTCTGTGGCAT